CACTAAGTACAACCCGAGCAATGACAGTAGTGAACACCTTGGAGGAACATATGAAGAATACTCCGCTAGACAGGACAGTAGTCATCGGGGGAGACTGGAACGTCACCCTAGAAGCACGTGACAGAGAGCACCATTTGGAAAAGCGCACATCACTTGCACATCAACTGGCAAACTTAACGCGTACACACAAGATAGTAGATGTATGGAGAAGTTTTCACCCTGACAGCAAGCAATTCACATACCGCGGGAACCAGACAACTAAGCCCAAATCCAGACTAGATAGAAATACATTTCAGACAATTGGCTTCACCAAATACACTCCGCCCATATATGCCCCTGGTTTGCAGACCACGCAGGACTATCCCTCGATATACTGCCACCCCAAAAAGAACAGCGTCCAGCTTTCTAGAGATTCAGAAACACGCTTCTCAACGACAAATACTTCGTTGACTGCATCACAAATATTATACAATATTACACCATATTATCCAATGAAGGAAAGAATATACACGAAGTATGGGATGAAATGAAGCAGGAAATACGGTTACAGGCACGCAGATATGACGACAACAAAAGACAACAGAAGAAGAGACAATATACAGATCTAGAACAACTCAGCTATCTAACTGGGAAAGAAGAACTCACAGAAGCAGAAGAAAGAGTCCTTAATTCAGTAGGCACCACACTACAAAACAAATTTCAGCAAGATGCCCGACGACAAATATTAAAATTTTCAACCTAAACACACACCCAAAAACACACTCCTACCCATTTACCCCCACAAAAGTTTTCACACCCAACAGCCGCAGCTGCAAGCCATAAAATTACATGGTACCCTTCTAAGCGAACCTAATAAAATTCGAACAGAACTACGGAAACACTTCCAAGAATTCTACAGTACGAAAGGACACAAACCAGACATAAGGGATGACATCTTCTCCAACTTACCATCGCTTGATCAAGAAAGACGTGAAAAATGCGACGCACCCTTCACCATAAAGGAGCTGACTACAGCGCTCCAAAATTCAAATCCAGGAAAATCACCCGGACTGGATGGGCTCACATATGAACTGTACAGGAAGTTCTGGAATGAACTTGGCCCTCTGCTCGTACGAGTGGCAAACATCAGTATGCAAGAGGGAAAACTGCCAACTTCCATGTTTAATGGAATAATAACCCTTATCCCCAAAACAGGAGACCTCACAGTATTATCAAACTGGAGACCCATAACGCTACTAAATACCGACTACAAATTAATAACAAGATGTCTACCTGGAAGGATAATATCAGTGCTCCCAGACCTCATCACCACAGACCAAAGTTACTGTATACCAAACAAAACCATTCATACCAACTTGCACCTCATCCGAGACGCCATAGACCATGGAAACACGCACGATCTGCCGCTTGCAGTCATATCGCTTGACCAAACCTCAGCATATGACTGCGTGGAACACCCTTACATCTTCTACGTACTGGAAAAGTTCGGCTTTGGAAATAACTTTATTCAGAACATACGAACTGTGTACCGCAATGCGAAAGGACTGGTGAAGACTAACGGCACGCTCACGGCGCCCTTCAAATATGGAAGAGGAGTGCGACAAGGCGACCCCCTCTCCGGGCCACTTTTCACGTTAACAATTGAGCCTTTCCTTCTATTATGCAACCAAAAGCTACGAGATTACGGACTCAAAAAGGCAGCTGCCGTCACTGGTCACCAGCGCATATGCAGACGACATCACGGTATTCATTACAAACGATGAAGGGTTTCCACGCCTGCTGCAAAACTTCATGGTTTATGGTGCCATATCAGGAGCTACCTTAAACATACAAAAATCAAAAGGACTGTTTGTAGGCCGGTGGAGAAACAGAACAGACCGCCCGTTGGGCTTCCAATGGAGTGAAGGGGGCGGAAAGTACCTGGGAATCTACCTAGGCAACACAGACGATTGGCAGCAACAAAATTGGACTCAACTTGAAATCAAGATACGAGCAATACTACAAAAGTGGGAACAAGTACCGCAAGCCACATCATATCCTGATAGAAAACAAATACTCAACCAACTAGCTGGAGCCAAAATGACGCACGTACTGACCATACTCCAACCCACCACCACATTTCTAGACACGATGCACAAGCTGATAGTCAATTTCACATGGCAGAGCAAACACTGGAAACATCCTAACTTCGTATATGGAAGACTGGAAGACGGAGGAATAGGCGTGCACAACCTCCAAACCCGCATCCAAACCATACGCTTCTACTTTTTGCAAAATTTTATAACCCTAAATAACAAAGAGAATGCGTGGTACTTCCAAGCAAACAATATCAGGATGTAAGCCCCAGGCCTACACGTAGAAGCCGCGCTCAAACTGAACCTGAACCCAGCGCGCTTTCCCAGACTGACACCCTTCTACGTCAGCGCACTCGAAGCCTGGTACTTCCAAGCAAACAACATCAGGATGTATGCCCCATGCCTACACGCAGAAGCCGTGCTCAAACTGAACCTGAACCCAGCGCGCTTTCCCAGACTGACACCCTTCTACGTCAGCGCACTCGAAGCCTGGTACTTCCAAGCAAACAACATCAGGATGTATGCCCCATGCCTACACGCAGAAGCCGTGCTCAAACTGAACCTGAACCCAGCGCGCCTTCCCAGACTGACACCCGTCTGCGCCAGCGCACTCGAAGCCTGACACGACATTAGACCCATTGTTAACCCCAACCTACAGTCCCTTGAAGACCTAAGACACATCCCCTTGCGCGACTCCACCCTCACGAACCCACATATTTCCGGCCACAAAATTATGTTTGACAAAGCTTGGAAGGCTCTAAATATAACCTACATAGGAGACCTCATCACGGAGAACGGACACTGGAAAGAACTAAAAGACATCGACACAACACACTGTTCCCAACCGACTACCGGTAGACTGGCAGCAAACCTACGGAAAGCAGAAGCCTTTTTCCACCACAATTACCCAAACCTTTCACTGAAGACCACTTCCTTAACACAACCCCCCAGCGCTTTGTCATAAAACAACCCAACGGCCAACTGACTCCCCTCCCCATACCCAAACGCAGGGCATACAACCAATTATTCAAAGCCAACATAGACAAAAAAGCAATGGTCAACGCTGAATGTCATTTGCAACTGGGAAAACCCCAGTGGAAAGCGGTATATCACCACCCCATTATGAGCAAAGACGGCGACTTCTCATGGAGGATGCTACACCATAGGATAGCCACACCGCAACAGCTGCACAAATTGGGCAAGAAGGACACACCAGACTGCCCCTGGTGCCCAGGCACAACAGGGACGGCGAATCACATGTACTTCGAATGCCCCACAGTCACAGCCTTCTGGGGCCGTCTAACCAAGACGCTCCATGACCTGCTGGGCCCCCACCCATTGCAAAAGAAGCAAATATTATATGGATACCCCAAAGTAGATACCACACCCCAACAATATGCCAATTACTTAATAGCCCTAGCCAAGACCACCATATACAAGACATACCTAGCAACGAAGAACACCCACGAAAGACCACCAGACTACCAACGCATGTACCGTATAAGGCTGCAATTCCGACTAAATCTAGAAATGCACTACAGCATATGGCAAGATGAGGTCGAGACGTTCGAGAGGTACTGGCTACACAAACACATACTTGAAAAAATTGAAGAGGGACGAAATATAGTCAACAAACAGATCTAATACTACTGTATACATCAACTGCATGTAAAATTCTGTACACATTTTAAATATATGTTATTTTATGTTAATTACCTTCATTACATGTTGTGTTGTAAGAATTATTGTTATTGTTAACTACATGTTGTTAAATAAATAAAATAAATTCTTAAAAAATCTATCTATCGGAAATCTCCCAGATTCTGTGCTGAGTGATGGATCTGAGCAAAGCAAGCTGAAAGTTTCAACACGGAACCTTTAGCCACTAAAATAAAACAATGGGCGATAAGAGAAATTACAGGTGGCCCTCGACTTACGCGATAATTGGCGTGCCCAAGAGCAGTAGCGTAACTCGGAAACTGGGCTCATTTCTTTACTCTTTTGTTTTCATTGCCGTGAATTTAATTTAAATATGTATACAGTAATTAAATTTACCTTAATAATATATTCATTTTCAGGGACGCGGTAGCGTAGTTGGTTGAGGCACTATGCTACAAGCCAGAAGGTTGCGGGATCGAATCCCGATGAGGTGGATTTTTAAATTTACCTAATCCTTCCAGTAGCACTATGGCACTGGGGTCGACTCAGCCTCTAACAAATGAGTGCCAGGAATCTTCCTGGGGGTAAAGGGCGGCCGGTGCCTAAGTGCGGCAACTTTACCGCCATCTGTGAGCCGAATGTCTAGAAAATGTCGGAGCCTCGACCTCTCATAACCCTATGGGCCTCCACGGCCTGTTTCAGGGATACCTTTACTTTTACTTTACTTTACTTTAATATTCATTTTAACCCTTAATTAATCCTATTCTGTGTTGTTTCTGTTTCTGACAAATAGTTTATTTTTTAGTCTTTTCTGAAAATAATGAAAAAAATTAAACGTAAACTTTGCGTAGGTCGAAATAGAGATCGGCGGATATCTGTGGTTTTCAAATAATACAATTTCCAGCTGTGTTGGAATATAATGCTAACTAGAATTTGTGAACACGCGTTGATAAAAACACGGACATGAAATGGTTTTGCACACACGGAGGTAAAGTGGTCAGGACGTGAAACTGACATCTCACCTCCATCTAGTGCCGTGGTAAAGAATGGTTGAGCTATACGTCCGTTCTTCATGGCGTGGCGCTTAATTAATTAAGCACAGAGATAACTATAATTTACTTTGGCCCTATGCCACTCTTGTTGGAATACCAGACCTGGCGTCTACGTAGTGAGTAGGTGGGAACGTTTGGTGAGTCTAAGGGAGGGGACCAGAGAAGGGGAAAAGTAGAGAAGGGGGGGATAGTTATAAGAGTAAATCACATGGGTCTCGCTAAGCAGAAGTGAACCCATTGCATTGAAGATTATTGTTGGCAAGTGGCGGTATAGTGTTCTGCGTGTTAAAAATAGTATTGAGTGTAAATTTTATGAGCTAGAACACTTGTTATATTTGATTAAATAACTTTGTTCGAGCGTCTGTTCCATTTGCTGCTGTGGAGGCATTTGTGTTGAGTCTTTTCAGCGGTCCCACTCCTGAGGTAAGTGAACCCACGTGACATTTACTCGTCCAGTTAATTAAACCGTCAGCGAAGTGGCCCGCATGCGTAAACGTGGTTACACTACTGCAACTTTTAATATGTAATCATTTGATAACTGATTCACTGTGCATTGCAGTAAAGCCTATTATTATATGTATACTTCGTGAGTTGCACTATTTTTATGTGCATGGGCTGGTCAGTGGCAGTGAATGGTTACTATCTCCCCGCCAGTCTAAAACTGATAACCCGCTGACGCGACTAGTCGCGCGCGTCCGTTAGTTGTATTATTAGAGAAGTAACATTTCTTGCGTTAACTCAGAACCAGACACAAGTTTTCATTCAAATTAGTTAATCTGTGGAAAGCAAAATGTACGTATATGTACACTCATACATCTGTAACTCATTTTAAAGCACAGTGGTTACTCTGTCCATCACCTGATTCCAAAGCTCATCGATTTGTCCATATTAATGTGTTTCTTACAATTCTCAGAATTAACAGTGAAGATTCCGTAAACGACATTAACCTGTTGATCTTTATGGTGTAGGCAGTAATCATCAGAGTCACCGCTTTGAGAGCCCTAAATAAAATGACGTTTTATCTGTTAATTTCTACGAATAAATGGTGCCAGGAAACGTAGGACTTGAGCAATGATTTCCCAACTTCACTGCATGAACCGCATATTAAAAGAAATGACAATAGTGAGCTCGCTTCCCACCCAGTTACCTACCTACGTAAATTATAACGGATAACTGGTAGGTCGTGTCATAACTGAGTTTCCCAACTCGGAGGCCCGAGTTCGATTCTAGGTCAAGTCATGTGACATTTGTGGTGGATAAAGTGACACTGGGGTAGGTTTTCTCGAAGTACCTCGGCTTCTGTTGCCATTTCTCATTCCACCAGCTGTGACACACTCATCCAGATCTGGTACTATACAAGGTGTTTCACGACTTCAGGGCATTACTGCAGGAGGTGATTTCCTAGGTCTTTGTGATCAAAAAATTTCATATAAACATGTGTCCGATTTTGGACGGTTACGGAGTTATGACCGTTTTAAACTCAGAATAGAAGGTAACGATTACTGACAATAAACGGAACAAAATAATAAACCAGCATAATACATGATACATTTAAAGTATAACTGTAAAGTTAACTTCGTGAAATTACCTTTAATTTAAATTTATTGGTTCTTAAAGCTGATTTTCGAAAATGCCACCGCCGGCCGCAACACAGGCTGCCGCTCGGTTGTGAACCACGCCTTAGGTAACTCTCAAGTGTCGAGATAACGAGAACGCTCTGTTTGTAGCTGGCTAAAAATAGCGACCCGCCAGCTGAGAGACGCGGTTCACACGAGGGCGTGTACGGGAATGAAAAAACGGTCATAACTCCGTAACGGTCCTAAATCGGACATACGTTTATATGAATTTGATTCGTCTCATTCTGGTCCGTCACACTGTTAATTACAAAGTAGATAACTTTCAGTCCACTATGACATACAGGTTTACAACACTTCAGTCTTTATTCGCCTTACATGTTTCGATTCAAAAGAATCATCTTCAGAGGCGCACCACTACGAGCAGGAAACACTGTTTTAACATTATGCACTTAGGTTATGAATAGTGCTCAGTATATCACAGTTTGCCCTATGCAGCCACGTTGACGTGTAGATTTACGTGTGATGTTTCGTTTAAGCGTATTTGCTGGGTATTCGATTGGGGTTTCCCACTGCACGCAATGTGATGTTCACTTTTCATAAAATAGCTTCCCTATGTATTTAAAATTGTATTAAAAATCTTTTGTAAAAAATTAGTTACTATGTTAAAACTCGTGAACCAGCATTGGGTCATGTTTTTTCTTCCGGATGGTAGAAGATGTCGATTATTTCTCGGTTGTATGTTCTTGTTTGTTGTGTAGTTTACGTGCGTGCTGTGTCGTATGTACTAATTTTTTACAAAAGATTTTAATGGAAAAGTGAACATCACATTGCGTGCAGTGGGAAACCCCAATCGAATACCCAGCAAATACGCTTAAACGAAACATCATACGTAAATCTACACGTCAACGTGGCTGCATAGGGCAAACTGTGATATACTGAGCACTATTCATAACCTAAGTGCATAATGTTAAAATAGTGTTTCCTGCTCGTAGTGGTGCGCCTCTGAAGATGATTCTTTTGAATCGAAACATGTAAGGCGAATAAAAACTGAAGTGTTGTAAACCTGTATGTCATACTGGACTGAAAGTTATCTACTTTGTTTATATGAACTTTTTTTATCACAAAGACCAGGGAAATCACCCCATGCAGTTATGCCCTAAAGTCGTGAAACATCCTGTATATATAAATAAATAAAAAGATCACCGAAGGTTCCGTTTGCGATTGAGCACTGCAGGAAAGTCAGAAGTTCTTCTGATGAAGAGCAAATTGCAGACAATGAACACTGCAGTGCTGCTAATTTACTGTGTCCTCTGGCCTGTGATGCAGAAGAGGATATCAGTGTGCAGGAGTGGGGAGAAAGTGGAGCCTCACGTTCACATATCGGTAGCAGAACTGATGACGCAGCGACAGATCAGCTGTTACTTACCAGGATGTTTACTGATACAGCATTATGCATAGTCTGTCCTGTTACACCACTAAGCTCGGGCTGTGGGCCGCGCCATAGCTCAAACGGTTAGTCGCTGGCTTCCCACCGCGGCGGCCCGGGTGGCGATGGGGCAGGTTTTCTCCGAGTACTTCGGTTTCCCCTGCCAATCTTCATTCCACCAATTGCTCCACAATCACCCCCACCTATCATCTGGAGCTGGTACAATAGGCCAGAAGTGGCCGCAGTACAAGGGACTTAGTCTCACCCCACTAGCAATAAAAAAAAAGCTGACTGTTCACGGCTGTGTCGTGTTTGGCTGTGCGCAGTTCTACCTGTGTACAGAACCAGTGTGTTATTCACGATGTGGCGTGTCCGACGCCTCTGAAGTACTGAAGCCCCATGACAGGAATAATGCAGGCCGGCCGTGAGCAGTTATTCGCATGACCAATACATGGACACGTTTTGACAGCTTGAAAAAGTTGATCTCCACTTACGTGAACAAATCAAAGTACGCAAGTTATCTGTGAAATTTATTGCAGACAATACTCAAATACAGAAAGTGAATTTGCCAGAAAGCATTTAGCTTCAGCCATGTCAGTCAAAACTCAGCCTAACGTTTTTTTTTTATTTCTCACCTCTACTGACAATCAGATTGTACAATCTACAAGTCAATGTGCTGACTGGTGTACAATTTAATAACTATCAGCCTGACTTCTCATGAATTTTATTTGCATGAAGTTATACACAAGGGGTCAAAACAGTACGGTTGTCTGGTTGAAAAGGGCGATCGAAAATTTTGGCATCCGTTTAATGTACCTCTCATCATTCCGGAGATGACATTTGGAGTTCTGGCATTCCTCCCACGGTCACTTGCACACAGGAAGTGTCAAAACCACATCCAGAAAAGTTAAGAGCAGAATAATTAGTAAGTCTCCACAGTGAATCCCTTTCGAATTCGGTTCCGCTCCATAAACTTGTGCCTGGTCTGCGCGTGTTAGCGCACCGGTACAGTACGGAAGAAAGAAGTGCATCTTACATGGCAAACGGCAGCGAGAGCCACGGTAAGACATTAGAAAATGCTTATCCGCATATTTCTCACGACCAAAATGTTTATCGGCCGGTCACGGTAGCCGAGCGGTCTAAGGCAGGTACTGTCTTCGCTCGCTTGGAAACCGGAATCGTGGGTTCGAATCCCACTCAGGGCATGGATGTTTAGTTTGTGTGTATGCGTTTTTCTGTGTTTGTATACAGGTAGAGGCCTTGCGACGAGCTGATCACCCACCCAAGGAGTCCTACCGAATGTGTAAGATCTAGAAAAACGTAAGTGAACGGAGAAGTTCATGGAGGTAGGCCTAGGCCCACTGGGGCTGTAGTGCTGAGAAAAAAAAAACGTTTATCGGCCCCTCTGTCATAGGCATTCCCTTTGCTGTTCATTGTCTTTAGGCACGCTGTAAGTCCTCACTAGCCATTCTTTAGCAATGCAACTCCTCATGACGATGTTACAGAAAANCAGGCCAAACGAATATGCAACGACTTATTTTCCTTAACATTTTACAGCAAAAAATACTTCCTCAATTACGACCGATTGTCCGAAAACATATGAAATTGTTAAGGCAGGGTCTCTAGAGGTAAACACACGCCTGCAAGATCTTTTTAACGTAATTACGCTTTTAAACTCCACACACTTGATCTTTTGCGGAAGCAGCTATCAGAAAACTGACCAACCCACCCCCTCCGGGTTAAATTAGTGAAGAGAAGTCAGCCAATTTTCCTGTGCACCAAAAACTCAAATAACGGGCCTGTACAAGAAGGACCTGGATGTTGTACTATGTCAGAGATTTGCAAGTACATTGCGAACATGGCAAGAAAAAAATCAGTATCACATTCTGCCATGTAGTAATACTAAGTAGTTATTTTTTATTAAAAAATAAAATTAATTTTTAACAAGTTCACTGAAGAACTAACTAATCGCCTCCCTTCCTGTCACTACATACTGACATACATACGACACGGACAGCGTAGTAGACACCGCGTCCAACAGTTCGTTGCTGCAGGAACTTGTTTGCCGAACCGTTACCCAGCAAAATTAAGGAGGACAAACAGAAATGTGTCTGGGGCCTTCCCCGCCTTGTACCCAGTGGGTACCATTGTACCAGCGACCGCAACGTGAAACTGACCACGCACTTCATTCTGTTGCTGTGATTAAGAATAGCTGGAACCTTATGTCCCATCCCAGTGCGACAGGCACTGTCTTGGCTTTCATACCGAGGATGCGGAGTTAGAATGTAACTTGGTGCTTAGATGTTGACGTTCTGTTCTTAACTGCCCTTTTAAAGACGGCCTTCCACGGACTCAGTAGAGGCAGAACTGTTACCAGATTCTTTGTCTGAATCTTGATCGTAACTCACAAAATATTTATC